TGGTCGTAGTTTCTGCAGCAGCTGGATGGACTCGTGGGAGAGGAAGTCGTGCCACTCGATGTGCCCCTTCTTGTTGGGGTCCAGGGCGGAGAACTGCAGGGTTGCCTGCTCCTCCTGCGCCTCGGCCATGGGCCGCTCAAACTGCTGCCTGTGCACCAGGTGCTTGTAGTGCAGGAAGTCGTCCAGGGTCAGGCAGGTCTCTGCGGGGGACAGGTCGGCTGTGCGGCACCCAGGGAAGGGGGCCCACCTCCCCAGCCTCCTTCCCCAACCAGCCAGGACCTGCCGTGGGGAGGGTCCGCACCTGGAATGATCTTGCAGTGCCGCAGGGTCTCCATCAGGCTGTACATCTCTTCCTCCGTCAGCAGGAGGTTGAGGTTGTCCTGGGGTGGGGGGCAGAGAGGAGATGTGGGGCAAAGGCACGGGGCGGGGGGAGCACCCAGCCGTGCCACGGCACCGGGGTTCTTTGAAGGCATGTGGGAGAGGCGAGGTGTGCTGTGTCACCCAGGGGCGCTGCAGTGGGAATGCTCCACACCCCTGGGCTTTAGGTGCCATTCCAGCTCTGCCGCAGCTCCTTGTGCCCAGCAGCACGTCCCCTGGTGTCACATCAAGGTGCTGGGGGGCTGGCTGCAGGGGAGGTGGTGAAGGGCCACCGTCCCCTCCCCTCCGGTGGTTCCCCATCAGGTGGGTGGCAGGAGCTGGGGAGCAGCAGGCCCCCTGTTACCGCAGAACAAGCGGTGATGTGGGACACTGCTCATGTCTGCGCAGGGCACAGCTCCCTGGGGAGCACCCACCACCCCGCAGGAGCCCAGTGTCCCCCACCCCAGGCACTCACGCAGTAGTAGCAGCTCCAGCCCGTCTCGGTATGCGCCGTCTCTGTCACCTCCATGGCGCTGTCGTTCTGCAGGTAGCCCATGCGGCGCAGGCAGCCGTCGGTCCCCCCGGCTGCAGACGCGGCAGGGGAAGAGGCTCTCGGCCGTCCACACCTCGCAGATCTCACACATCTCGTCATTGAGGACCTGGGGAGGACAGGCAGCTGCTCAGAGGGGCTGGCTTCTTAAGGTGGGAGTCAGGGTGGTGCTTCACACATGGGGATGGATGTTGGTGGGCAGAGCGGATGGGAGGGTGGGGTTGTATTGGGCTGGCGGAGGGGTGGGGTCATGGCTTGTGGCGTTAGAGGAGCGTGGATGGGTCTGGCTGTAGGGTTGGTGTTGCTGCGGGGTTGTAGGTTGGCTGGTCTTTCAGGTTGTAGCGTGGGTGGGTGGAAGTGCTGATCCGTGGGTTGGCTGGTTGTAGATGTGTACGGTTTAAGCTGTCAGGCTGTAGGTGGGCTGGGGTGTAGGCTTGTTGGGGTGGGTGGATGGGTGGGTGCGTGGGTAGGGTCATGGGTGTGGATAGGTGGGCTGTGGGATTGCTGGTATGGGCAGATAAGCTGTTGGGTTGGGCTGTAAGGGTCACAGGTGTGGATGGATGGGTTGAGTTGTAGGCTGGCTGGCTGTAGGCTGACAAACACATAGATTAAACTGTCCTTCTCTCTTCCCCAAAGCTGGAGCTGTCTGTGCCCAGCAGTGACCTCTCCTCTCCAAGACACCCCAGAGTCCCTCCAGGGCACATCTGACTGGTCACATCCCCCTCCCTCCATGGCATCTCCAGCTGCCCAGCCTGGCCCCTGGCCCCCTGCCCCCCCGAGCTGTCTCCATGGGGATTTGCCGTGACTGGGGAGGCTGTCACTGCACAGCGGGAACCAGGAATGCTGGCACAGCCCTGGGCTCTCCCCTCTCCCTCTCCATCCCCATTCCTCTCTCCCTGTCCCCATGCTCTATCTGCTTGCCTGCTCCCGCTGCTCCAGGCTGATGTCCGGGGGCTCGTCATCGTGCAGCTCCCGCTTGGGCCGGATGAAGGCGGGTGGCGTGAACCTGTTGGCTCGGTCAAACTCCTCTGGCTCCACGCCCCGGCCGTCCCGCAGCCGTTCCCAGGCTGCCTTGCTGGAGCTGCTCTCCTTCGGCTGGGAAGGTCCTGCCGACACCTCCTCCTCTCCCTCCTGCACCTCCTGCTCCAGCGTTCCTTGGCATGTGTCCCCCGCCTCCGCCCGCCGCCGTGTCGATGGCTGCTCCCGCAGCCCATCCTTAAAGGCTGACACGGCCAAGCTGACCTTCTGCACCTTCTCCACCGTCTGCCGCCTGGACATCAGCACCCCCATGGCTCTGTGGGGGGGGAAGAAAGGTGCTCAGTGCTAAGGCCTGGGGGTGCAATGCTGCTCCCTGTCCCTGCACCATATCCCTGGCCCCAAAAAGTTGTCCCGGTGGCTTTCCCCCAGCTGTGTGGGGAGCAGCTCAGGGCAGTGAGAAATGGAGGCTCCTTGGCAAGCTGGCGCTGGGATCGTCCATGGTGGCTGTAGGGAGATGGACCCGAAGCCACGCAGAGATCTGGCCATGGAGGGTCTGTTGGTGGGGGAGCAAGAGAGCAAGCGGGGAGCTGGTTTGGGGGCACCCTGCCTCCCCCATCCTTGCTCTGTAGACTCCAGCTTAACAGGAAACACATCTAAGCCCTTCCCACACCGGACCAGTGAATCCCAGAGGGACTGGGACCAGCTGTAGCCGTGCCCCTTGTGTGCATCTCTTTCCTGCCTTGGAGAAAGTCTCTTAGGCCAGCCAAGGGCAAGAGTCCGAGGACTCCCTGCAGCTCTGCCCAGGGCTGGGGTGTAGCAGAGCTGGTGCTGGGTCTCTTACCTTCCCTAAATTTCAATTCATCCCTCAGTCTCTCTTGTGCTCGCATGCTTGTGTGTCTGCGTGTTTGCTGCTGCCCCGATCACAGGGCATCCTGCATGACCCACCCCAAAATGTGGGTCAGGGCTGGCTTGCAGCAAGGAGCCATGCAGAGGGGCTGGGCCAGCCACGGGAAGGCTGCAAGGGTGCAGGAGAGAAGGGGAGCAGTGCACGGGTCTGGGATGCATGGGTCCCAAGAAGGGGGTTTGGCTGCAGGACTGAGGAAAGGTCATTGTAGGGTAAAATGGGAAGGGCAACGACAGCA